TAAAGAAATGGTAAAAATTTTTTATACGGTGTTAAAAATCAAAAGGAAAAAAAAGAAAGCAAAATAGGCCATCTTCCGGAAGCGGCAAGGTCGTCGCGCAGACACGTCCACAATATTATTTAGTGTGTCCGTGGAACAAATTATCAGTCCCGTCGTGAGTACCTACATCTCGAATGATGAAGGGCGGAAACGGTTGCGGCACAATATTTTACGTTTCAGGYGCGGAACAATACACAATAACACCAATCATGTTCATCATTTGGGGTTGAAACGGAAAGGAATATCACGGGCGCGAATCGATGCCGTCAATCATCAGCTAAATTATATAACGCGCGACGTGCACAGGTATATTATATACCTATAATAATAATAATATTATGTTGTATATTATTATTACGTGTTTATTGACAGCCGCGCTTTACGAAATAATAATTCCCATAATAGTAGTGGCGATGTCGGCGGAAAAGACAATACACTCATACATTTACCCGTACTCGCATATTAAATCATACAGGGTGATCCATTCAACGCAAGACATTCGCATTGTTTAAGAAAACACTGACGTTTTTGAAACTAGAGGTTTTTACTGATTTTTGAATGAAAAAATGATATAATTTGTTAATTTTATGTATTCAAAATCAGAAATTATAAAGAGTATTTTTTCGATTTATATAAAAATCTAATTTCGACAAGTTTAAATGACGAATGAAGAAGTGGATTAGCATTTTGAAAGGATACTCGCGCGGTTATATCACCCAACACAACTCATCAACAATTTACAATACTACTCATTCAAAATTTGATTTTTTTAATAAGTTTTTATACTAAGTTCGCAGAATAATTTCTTTCGTGGAATATTTCAAGTATAATAAGCGTAGATTCTCTATTACAATTTTGTTCTTTGAAGACATATTATAATTAAAAAACAAAAAAAATATTTTCAAAAACGTTAATAGTTTTTTAAATAATTATTGTTTTATGAATGGATCACCCTGTATAATGATTATTATTATAATTTACGGATATGCCGGAAGACGTTCGGAGAACAGGTGACCGCACTGCGACTACCAGTCCTCGCATATATTATAATACCTGACAGATATATACCTAAGCGCACACATATATATACTATATATAATATATATTATACCATTTATACCTACGTAGTATACGTACATTATCGCACGTTTAACGATATTATTTCCACTTCCCTTCCCTCCCCTCCTTATCACAGTCAAGTCCACTTGGTCATAAATAGTATACTGCACTACTGCTGCCACCACCTCCATTAATATACGTAATATAGGTAGTACAACTAAGCACTATACATGCAGATATATACATATGCTGAAACTAGATGTCGGTCCGGTTCCCACGGCCGTCGTCGACGGTCGTCCGTCAGTATAATCAGTATATATATATATATAACATCTATACAATAATATATCCCTACACACAGTTCACGAATCAACATGTGCGTCGGAATTATAATAATATAATATAATATAATAGACATCCCTCCGAGTAATTAACCTATCGCCCCCTTATATGCCCGCTACCTATATAGAGCGTATTATCGGCTATTATTGTACCTATACTGTATATGTTTATCGTCGGCTTACACGGTATCCGGACACACACACACACACATACATGCATCATTTACATTATACACGTATCACACACGCACACACAAATACACGATAGAGTCGCTTGTTGACCGACYGACGACGGAAATGCAATTATACACGCGGCGCGCCCGTTATCTGAGGGAAGAGCTGTGGACCGGAAACTCGGCCGCGGATCTCTCACGTTGACTCCGTACCGGAACGTTGACTTCGGCCGCCACCGCCACCGCCACCCCTACCCCAAGCGTTAATGCCTATCATGTAGGCGTACATAGTGGAGCGGGGGTGGACATCTGTTGTACCTGCACAGTGCCCGCAGGACCTGTAATGAGCGAGGGTACTTCGGTGGAAGTTGCGGTGGGTGCGGGTGGATCTGTTGCAGCGTGTTCGACGATCGTATCTCGCGAGACCGTTACGAAATTCGCGTTTTCGAAAAAACCGTTTTTCCCTATACAACAGACTATATAGGGATAAACAACAGCAGCTATAACAGAAATATAAAATATACGCTGCACACATTATCGTATAATATAATATATTTTATAATCAATATTTATTCGTTTAAAAAATTCACCCCCCCCCTTTCAACGCAAGAAGTTATAACTACAACCGTGGTGTTTGAATAACTATCATAATGTTACCAGTTTGTTGAATTCCGACCTCAAAATGTCATATGCATCATACAAGTGTTTATCAAAATTGATATGCTAATACACTATTATAACATAATATAAATATTAAAAATTAGTATATTCATAAATGTTCATAACGGATCTATTGATATAGCTTACAGTAATATTATTTGAAACACTTTGGATAGGTATTAATGAAGCGAACGTCAAAATCCATTTTACACGAATATAAATGACAAATAACGTGTGTGTTGACTGACTAAATTCGTCTGCATAAACGTCAAACTTGTATACGTTTGTCGCATTAAATATTATACGAAATCGATTAGAGCAGGTACAAACGTTTACAAAGGTAAACTCTCATACATATACCACACATGCGCTTCTCCGTATCTTTCATGCGCAACGCAAACATATTGTATATAAGTCGGACAATCCTTTCGCGACATGTATTACGTCAATGTTTACATGCAGGACACGGCAATGGGGCGATAATGATGTATACATATATGTATATATATATATATATAGGGTACGTGTGATATGTGGCGCCAAAATATTACGGTTAGCGACAAATAAAAATTGTCACCGCTGAATATACATATATATGCTTTACATTATGTGATCTTCTCCCGTTATATATTTTGTGTACCTACATTATAATATATATTTTGGTAAAAGTATACCTATACGGAAAGGGGCGAAAGAAAATATTATACAAAAGACGAACAAAACATAATATATATGCCACGGGCATAACAATATGTGTTTTGTTCGTCTCGGGGTCGCACAGTAGGCGGGTTGCCATATTTTGCAATTATTTTACCCTCGCGCGGCGGAGTGGTTTTTTTAGCTCGTCGTCGTCATAGCGTTACAAGAACTACTCTAATGCGTATATATCATATTATGGTGTATAGGTACGCCATCATTAAATGTACCCTTTGAATCTCGCTTGCTGTGTAATAATAATAATACGACAAAAAGTCACAGCTCTTTTATTATAATATTATATACCATATACCTATATTTCTAAATATATAAATATATATATATATATATATGGGTATTGGATATGCTGTTCACACAAAGGCGTGTAAAGTACGATTAAAGCGAAATAATACTAACGTTTTTGTTTGAAGCGGAAAACAGACAAACCGAAAACAAAAAATTAGTCAAAACATGAATTAAACTTTTAATTGAATAATTATATAGTATAAAAATAAAATTACATAAATTATTTAAAGAGATAATATAATGAACAAAAAATGTTTGTTTGTAATTATCAATTTTTGGATATGACTCTAAATTTCTAACTTCTTACACCTACTTTTAAGTTTGAATACGTTATTTTCATTTTAATATATTTACTCGTGTATAGGTACGTTAGGTACTTCAAGGAGTGTGGGCTCGTTCAAAAATTATGGAATCTATTATTTAATATTTAATGAATTTACTATACCTATATTAAATTACAAAATTAAATACGATAATTCATTATTATACCATAATGAAACTCAACATAGTATAAATTAATAGAGTTATACACAATGTGATGAGTAAGAAATACGGAATTGGTTCCTTGGTCAAAATAAAGTATACGAAATACGAATTTAGTTTGATAAATTACAAAAGTGATAATTATCATTGTTCAAATTAGTTCCCACACGTACAAACAAAGGTCATGATTGTTTAACTAATATGTTGTTAAGACCTGTATAGATGGCCAGGGCCGTATTTAGGAATTTGACACGAAGGGGCAACAAAAAAAATACGCATCATTAATCATTATACAATATACAAATTTAAATTATAAAAAAATTAGCCACCCTCTCCTACTTAGCCGCCCGGGGCAACAGTACCCTGTAGCTCCCCTCTAAATACGGCCCTGTAGATGGCTGTGATTTATCACTTAAAACATGAGAAATGTCGTCTACTTCAGATCAAACCACACGATAATTTCTCGAATTGTTTGACTGTAAACTGCATTTAGACTTTTCACTAATAATTAATGTAGCTCAAATAATATTTTTTTTAATAACTGAAAAAGATACCCAAAACGTTTGTAAATGTTAACCAAATGTTTTTTAATTTCTTTTAAACTTCATCCTTATCTTAATCATCTTTGACTTGATTGATATTCGGTTAAACTGTTTTTACATAGCTACTTATTTTATTATTCTCAGCATTGGAAAAAACGTATACATTATACAAGTTTAACTTACATATTAGTTAAAACCCTCTTACTTTGAACCCCCTCCCCTATCATACCCGTATTGTATATTTCACAGTGGCTCCAATATGCTACATGGGAATCGATTAGGTAATTTCAGGTAATAGCTATAGCAAGGGTCCTAATAATGAACGTTGAGAGTTGTAAAAGCTGATGCGAATCCGTACAGCGTTAGCCTAGTAAAACGTAATAATATCGGTTTGTCGACAAAATTACGAATAAAAACAATAATAACATGAATGGTACCTATACTTGTATAATATTATGACGTGCCTACGATGAGCGGGGTGGGTGGGATACGCGTGTCTTATCATCACTTGTATCGGAGTACAGAGTTTATTATATAGGTGTAGGGAACATATTATTATTATTATATGATTATTATGCGCAAGGTACGCGCGCATTTCGATGATATATATAACATAGTTGTAGTTATCGACGCGATTGTGCGGCACCACAATCGCGGCGATTGTTGCACGCGTGCACAACGTGGGAACTCGCGCAACCGTGCGCCCTGTGCCATTATGTTTTGAAATAACCCAGCAGTATGGACCGGTTCGCTTTTGTCGGCGTTTTAGATCGGTGCACGCGTAACAGGCCGAAAACGAACGATTTTTTCGGATTTCGCTTTACCGAAGGAACGCTGACGGACACGTGAAACCCGCTGCGGGACGGTTCGGTAAACAGTTTTCCGATGTATATTTTTGTGCGACTTTGCTGTGCCGTATTTGTAAACGTTGTGCCGCTTGTCAGACGAAAACATAGGTAAGACAATAATAATAACAGTATTATGTCATCGACGAACAATGATTCGGAAGACGACGATCCGAGGGTGCATTCGTCTGGGATGTCATCCTCCGGCCAGCCCAGACGTTACGAGCTATCGAAATCCGAGTTGCGAAAGGTAAAATACACTAATCTCCACCTACGTTTATAATAATAATATGTGTGAACAACTTACTGTTCATTTCTCAAGTTGTTTACAAATAAATTGTTAAAAGGAATATATCAAACGCTGTTTTTTGGCTATTGCAGAAATGAATAGCGGGCAACAAATTTTTTTTAAATATTTTATTTTAATAGTAATATTATTTTGTTTAAATTTAATTACGATGATAGATTTTTAAATACCTTTAAAATTCATTAAGAGCTTTTTTTGTTTCCCCCAGAAATATTTTTTAATAATTCTATCATACAAATGTCAACACATTGCTAATAATAATTGATAGTTTGTTACCTATGCGAATTAATTTTGTTTAATATTAATTAATACTTTGAACCTATCTCGGAAAATAGAGATCTTACATTTCGTATTGTTAATTTATAATTTTATATTTTTCTTCAAATTAATTTCTTATCATGTGTATTCATCGATAAAAAATAAGAATAAATATAACTTATTAATGACAAAAAATAAAAATTAAGGTGGTTTAAAAGTTTTTATTTTATTCATCCAGTTATTTTATTATGTTTTGATAATAAATATATTATGTAGTATGATTATACAAATATAATATTATCGGACAATACTGATAAATACCGTAAAATGGAGAAATTCTATAAAGTTTAAATGAACGAAACTTGTTGAATTTTACATACAATTTATTTTTATTAGATTTGTAAAAAGCTAAAAATTAAATTCAATGAAAATTACTTATTTTAATAAAAAATTATTTAAATTAACATTTAATGTGTTACATTAAGATAACATTTAGTTTTTTACAATTTTAGAACAATAAGCCAATTATGGAGAAAAAAAGGAGAGCTAGAATCAATCAGTGTTTGAATGAACTGAAAACACTTATATTGGATGCACTGAAAAAAGATGTAAGTTAATTATTATTATCATTTTATAACTCTCATATATCAGTACAAAAAAAACACATTATAATACGAGTAATGAGAATCACTATACGATAGCGTCTATTATCATATTCTATCTATTTGTAAATAATGTAGAATAATAAGAAAATACGTTTTCTGTTTTTATACCCTATGCCCCTATAGACGGCATTAGTTAATTATGAAGAATTGTGGATAGTATATTATCTGTAAAATTATTTATATATAATCATAGTTAATTTTTTTTTCGTTTTTTTCATTTACAGTAGGTATTTCATGTATTTTTTAAATTTGTTTTGACCCATATAACTGTTTTTTTTAACCAACTTCTTATCAACTTTATTTTTATCGTTTTATAGTCATAACAAATTACGTTATTTTTATCTTTTTGAATGTACAAAATATTTTGTAATTTGTGTTCATAGTGTAATACTTTATTCATCGACACTGTCTCCGTCAGCCGATCGTTTTTATCGTTAATATTTTACTGTTTATTTTTAGAACACATTTTTTATTATCTAAAAACAATGATTATTAATTATGTACCTATTGACTTCTATTCAAATGCATATTTATAATAAATAATAACTAATGTTACGTTAATTTTACCCATATATGTATAACCAACTATATTTCATACTTTCCATACTGTGAGATAGGCAAAATAAAAAATGTTTTTATTGAATACGGATATACAAGACAGAAAAACACAATTGTGAAATAATATTCCATTTAAAATGTAACCGGTACGATCTTAAAAATAAATTGTTCTATCCCAAGGATTATACGCTCTCTTGATTATAATATTGTAGTAAACATTGAATTGTCGACGTTAGGTTATCATCATATTGAATTATTTCTTTTGCAATGTCTCCGTTTTTTTTCCATTCTGCTAAATTTGGTATCGTCGTGTAATATCGTAACGTTTTTGCTGTCAATCTATATACCACAATGTGACAAGTAAAAGGTTCAATTTGTTGAGAGAATGACGAGGCTTATACGATTTAACTATTAAGAAATAGACATTTTGCAGTACATAGTATAAGACGAGGTATAAGATATGGAATACATTTATGCTTAAAGTGTATTGGTTTGTTTACACTTATAGTATACAATACCAGTGATGTATAATGTATATAAATATTTATACATATAATGTAATTTTAATTTTAATGAAATTATTTATTTTTTAATGAAACACAAATCATATTACACAATATAAGAACACAGTTAGATTAGATTATATCTAAAATATTTATCACGTTTTGGGTATCTCTGTAGACTATACTACAGATGGATGATATTTTTCAGACACGTAAACACGTAATATTTAATACAGAAACATTTTCATATACCTAACATACTTATTACTTACATTAAACAAAATTTGTCGTTTAATGAATTATTTATGTTGCTCGTTAGACTATTCATAGTATGAAAGGTTCAGTATCGATCTGGTTCACCGGGCTACCCAATGATTTCCAGAGGCAGAAAATTGTTCAACATATTTATTTAGTTTATTTTAATAACGGACATATTATTGTTAAATCCAATACACAATATAGTTTTAAGATAACAATATTAAAATAGTAATAATAATAATAATAATAATAGGTACATATAAAACCTTTGACTAGTCCACATTCTACATTAAAGAAATAAAAAAAACCAATAATTACATTACATGGTTACGAAGTTAGAAGGGTGTTCGTTTGCGATACGTATCATGGAATGAACTAGGTACGACTTACGAGCGTAGTTCGTGGCATGTAGGATAACGGGACTGTAAAGGGAGCGATGTTTCGTAAGAAGCGTGACGGGAATTAAAATAGAAGTGAAAACTAATAAATAAAGATTAAATTATTAATGTGTTAGGATCTTATAGAAATAAATTTAAAGACTACTATTTTCAATTTTGTTTAAAATTTATATATTATTTAATATTAATGTTATTTATGTTCATTGAATTTGTTTTTTATATTTTATTTATCACGATGATGTATTAAAAAGCAGTTCATTTCTTTTTTGAATACTTGTATGAAGAGTAGGGGCCCATAAAAAATTATTGCGATAGGAGCCCAATTACGAGCCAGACAAACAATGGTTGTATCCATACTATTATTTATTATATATATTATTACTCGAGAACAAAATTACATGCATTTGCAAAGTGTATGCAAGATTATAAGGGTTCAAAATCTGGCCATTTAAAATCAAATTTGGCCTAAATTAACTTTTTTTCTTTTTTTCCGTCGAGACAAGAATAAATATATATTGATCGACAATAAATTAATATCATAAATTATCATAGCAAATGTTTGATAATCGAGAATAATATTTCTTAATTTGGTAAAAACATCATTTTTTCATGGTTTTTATTGTTATTAAGAATAATAATTAATTATATATGACAGCTATCACAGTTTTCATGATGGATTTTTAGTTGACCCTGGTTTGCTACTATTCTGTTAGTAATGTTTACTAATTTGGCACATATTTTTAATCATGCATATTTCCATCATATTAATAGTACATTTAAAGTGCATATTATTCTGGTCTCTTATTAACTACTACTCATGTTCACATGTTAAAATATGTCAATATTGAAAATATCATTACATTATATAATTACAGCCGGCAAGACACACAAAATTGGAAAAAGCGGACATCCTGGAAATGACCGTGCGGCACCTGCAGTCGTTGCACCGGAATAGCAGCTCCAGCCGACCACTGGCCCCAACCACATGTCCGACGGTCGAACCTTTGTCGTCTTCGTCATCGACCGCGGCCTTAACGGCGGTGGTCGTTCAAAAGTTTCAGACGGGTTACCAAGAGTGTGCCGGCGAGGTGAATCGGTTCGTCGACCGGTTGGACGGGGTGGACGAAGACATCAAGAAGAGGCTAATGTCTCACCTGGACTCGTGCGTGGCCAAAATGAGGTACGTAGCCGCGGCGGCGGCCACGGTGCCACCACCGCCACCACCGCCACCACCACCACCACATCCACACGTAAACAACAGTTTTTCGTTGCACCATCGGCTCGACCAAGCGGCAGCGGCAGCATTGGCTGCGGCCGCGTCGGTCCCGTTGCCAAGCGGTCGACCGGTCTTGCAGCAGTCGGTGCTCGGAGACTTAACGCCCACGATCGTCTCGCCGACAGTCCCGTCGTCCGTCCAACTTCCGTCCATTCCAAAAATTGGGCGTCTCCGAACGAGCGCGTTTACGGCGGTACACGGTCAGCTCCCACCACCGGATGTCGGTCCGACGCCTTTCGTGTATTGCGACGAACCTGACGTGTCGTCAACTAGCTCGTGGGCCGAAGACATGGCCACCGCGGCCGCATCCCTGCAGCACCCACCGCTTGATTTTTCGATGAAAAAAACGGTAGACGGGTGCAGCAACAAGAGGCCTTTGGGCGATATATCGGTAAACGTTCCTACGGCCACCGCGTCGTCATCCTCGCACAAGCAGTCGGCCACGGCGGCGTCAAGCGGCGATGGTCCTACACCCGCGCGCGTCCGCAGGCCGGAAGCTGTGGCCGCTGCAGGCGGACCTTGCGACGGTCCCGATTCCGACCCGAACATGTGGAGGCCCTGGTGACGCCATCCGCGATGAGTTGCAGATATTTACTGCAGCTGCAATAGGGCTGACGGTGTTTTCGATACAACGGTAATTACTTGGTATTGTTAAAGAAATCGGTATTTAGTATTTGATAATACTGGTATACCATGATTTGGTCTTTCTGGTTGTTACCGTGCCAAAGTAATTACCGAAAAAAACGAATTCATGTCCGCATAATTTTATAATTGGCAAATCTATTTTTAGTGAAATGCAGTTCATAAAATATACACAGTTTTTAAAATAATATGAAATTTTCCTAGGTCAGAAAGACTGTTATAGGTTTAGGTCGTTTAGCTACAGTAAACACACCACGATTTTCGAGATATGTGTTTACGGTAATTGTCATGGTAAGGTAAAGTTTAAGGTAACATTACCGAAAATACCGTAGAACCGATAATGCCGTCGATACTACTAGTAAACAAATACCAGATACCACTGGTATCAACGTGTTTGAAATACCGCCAGTCCTAAGCTGCAGTGTTGGGTATTTAGTTACCCTCGTTACATTCACGAATGCAACGTCWTATACTTCGTGTAAAGTAAATACATATTATTATTATTGAACAATTTGTGCCTACAACGTAGTTATACATTGGTACCTTTAATGATACACGATGTGACTTCGCGAATTATTCCATTATATTGTGTACGGTACGAAACCATAAAAACGTATGCGATACATCATATTTTAATTTAAAAATATCCCACTTCATATATTTTATATTGTAGTTCTTAAACAAAGGAGACAAAGACACAATTTTAGCAATTCTGCTAATTATTGTCATGCTTTCTATAATTACACATAAAGTGGCGGTCACATGGAGATTTCATGGAGAGAGATGATGCTGATTTTTTTAACACGTACATTGGTCATAAAAATTATTAAATTATTAATATAAAAAAATAACATAGACTTAAAGTAACTAATATACAGTTTAATGTTTTGATGAAAGAAGCCACGATAATTGATACAAAATAAAAACTAAAAAGTTCAATATTAATTATTAATATGTAACAATAGYACCTAACTTATTAATGTGCTTTTAATGTCAATTCGTCTAATAGCTCACTTGGAATAATTATATGATATTATAATATTATAATTAAGACCCCACGATGAACAATCATTAATCATTATAGCCTAAATAATAACATATTGACTATAGAATTTATAAATATTAMAGTTTTAAACAAATATGTTAAATATATTTTTAATTTTACTATAAAATAAATGAGAAAATGCCTAAAAAATTATACCTCATATATAATGATAATAATATTATAAATATTTTATGTATGAACTGCGTTATATTTTAACAATTATTTTATTGATGCAAATATTTTGTCTGAAACAAATTTTTTATAGGTTATACTATATTATAAATTATAACTTTCACCAGAGCTTATTGTTTCAATAAATAGCAAAAAAAAAAAATGTTGATGATTAAAATTGTGAACAATTAATATTCATATTTTATAAGATTATAAAAAAAGTTATTCGCATTATTTACTCTAGTATATATATATATATATATTAATACACCTCTCCCTTCCCCGTGATTGACCGCCTCTGAATTATACAGTATCCATTAACCCAGTCATCTCTCGAGAGGAATTTACCAAACACCACAAATATATATTTCATATTATGGTAACGTTCGTACGCGATAAACTGTGTTATTAATTTTAGATCGATATATATGTTAACGTTTGATACTTGAATATTATTATTACACACATAATATTTTATATAATATTTATATGTTACCAAAGATTTTTATAGTTATAACTTATAAAATACGTCCTTCTTATTTACAACTTTTAATTAAGAGACATGGTATTTTATTATATTGTTTTWTGCGCGTTCTTACTTTCGGCACTTTTTTCCTAGTATCATATCATAATTTATATGTACTTTGTACCTGTATGTCTTACTTTAGATTATATTTTATATAATATATGCTTTCCCCTCCCACTTTGTTTAATTCCATGTAAAGATTTGTTTACAATTTTGTTAATTTATTATACATTGTCAGATACCGTCTGATGTCATGAACACAAGTTTAATTTTTCAAACATTAAATATTAATATTATATTAAATGTTTAAAATACTAAAACCATATTTTACCTTTGTTCTTTTATATTCATTTTATTTTTATACATGTATTTATATTATTTGTAATTAGTRATAGGTRAGATGATATTTTTAAATCGTATTTCATTTATCTTTCAACTTTTAAAAACATTATTTCCGATGAAGAAATAATAATTTTGGAATTGTATTAACTTTTATAAACCWAACACTAAGTTAACGCCGTTATTATTTGTATGATTTTAATGCACAAAAATAAATAAAAGATAGTAAATGATAGTAAATGATAATAAATGAAAACAATTYTAAAGTTTAAAAATTATTAAATTTATTTTTTAATAATAATTATACTATATAATATATAAGTTATCTATAAAACATACAAATTGTATATAATATTAACATTTCTATGCCAGGCAGTGTGGTTATGATATTGATATAGCGAAGACGTGKCTGTAATAAGTACTAATAAATCAATATTTTCAGATCATTAAGTGATCATAACCGAYATCAGAAAAATAATTTGAACATGATGAGAAACAAATATAATAYATATATATTAATAATCACAGATCACGATAAATACCTCTAGCTCGCTGAAAGAATATCAAATAGCATTACTATAAAATTAAGCAGTGATATCAATAAAAATCGTAAGTATATAATATAATATGTATACATGATAAAAAATTATGGTCGTGAACCTCATTATTACATTTTACAATACGGTAACTTTCCTATAATAGGGTTTTAAAATAAGTTAAAACAAATGACCTTTAATTATTTTTTTCTGGCACACTGTACATTTATTATCCTTCTACGTTCATTTTCTGATCTTTTCACGTCGACATTAGGTCGTAGTAAAATTATTGATGAAGAATTCGAATTGTGCTCGAGTAAAAAAAAAAAAAATAAATGAAAGTTTTTAAAGCGGTTTTGTACTTAATCTTCTATAACATCCCATAGCATTAGAGCCGCATCTGTTCCACCAACTGTCACCACGTTTCTATCGTTGTACAAAAATCTTGCACTCGATATTTGTCCACTATAAACCTTTTCTTCGTTGTATTCAGATTTCGTATGAATACAGGGATGCCTGAAAATGTATTAAAATCATTMATTAGGTGCACTCGTTGCTCGAACCATATATGAGTGGTAGTAGTGCGTGGAGACCTCAGTTTGCAWTTAAAATTATATYAAAATGGGCCAAGAAGATTCAGAATTGAATATAAAGGTATGGGTGCACATATGAAAATGTATAATAATATATTCTGGTTATGTACCTAAATAACCTAAGATGTCCATCTGTATCTCCGGTTACAAAAAGATCATGAGCTGCTGATCTGTTGGCAGTGCTTATCATTGATGAAATTGGATAATATCTGTTGTGCCAAATACCTAMAACGAAACAAAAACAAAACTAATTAACAAACAAAAATGTAAAAATATATATAATATCAACAATGAAAAGTGGTATTTTTTTTTTTATTAATCGTAAGTTATAATATTTTCTAAAAAATATAAATTGGCTGACAACTCTAAATAAGTTCTTACCATACAAAAAATGTATGTTTATTAATATATTATATTATATAATGTACTGTTTACAATAATTTATATATTATTATACTGTTTACAGAATTAGTGAAGTATAAAAATAACAAAGTATTGGCTAGATATATAGAATCCACAGGTCTTTATTTGCCTAATTTTCATTGAAAATAATCGTGACTTCTTTAAAAATCTAAGCAATACAATATCTTTAAAACAATAGAGATGATTAATGTACCCCGAATGACATGTACATTGTATATCATTGAATGACTTCAGATACATTTATTTCGAATACAAAATAAATACTATTAAATACAAAACTATTAATTTTAAGTAATTTTCTAAATTTCTTACTCCATATTATATTAAATGTTACAAATTAAAACATAAAAACAAAACAAACAATCACCCTATTATTTTATAGTGAATAACTAAATTAATTTAAATAATATATTACCAGAAACTAAATAGCCAATCGTTGCGTTATATGTATACCATTTGACGTCTTTCATTGCAGGTGCGCTTTTTTCTTGTATCAATCCTTTGACGTCCCCTAAATTAGCAGAAAATGTAGAAACAATACACAAAATGCTATAAATTTTCATATTTTTTTGTTACGTACAAAAAACGAGGTCGTATTCGGCAGTGACTGTTTGTAAATAATTTCCATCCGTACTCCAATCTAAATGCACTAATGGTTGGACTCCTCTAATTTTATTTGATTTTTTGAACGTAAATCCATCTCTACTTACTCGGTACAGATAAACACTACCATTTTGAGAACCAACGGCTATTGTATCACCAGCTGAAATCATTAGTATTTAAGAATATGTATTGGTATTAGTATTTTTCAATGATTAATTAAGTGATATGATAAAACGTATAACTTCTATTAAAACTTAATATTAACATGCTGGTATGAATGTATAATTATAAATTCTTATATATTATTTTGTACCTGGATTAAAACCCATGCATGTCAAAGCAGAACCGCACACTCTAACGCTTGACACCACAGACCCGTTTTCAGCATTAATAATAACCAAATATCCTTCAACTGAACCAGCCACAAGAGCAGTACCAAATGGATGAAAGGTAAGTGACACGCATTCATATGTGATCTATAAAGACATAAGTTATAGCTGTTTATTTTTTTAATAAAACAAAAAACATATAAAGGGAGATCTAAAAAAACTTTAAAATGTATAACATTATTTTGAAAAATATTACATCGATATTATTCTAAAAATAAACTAAACTTCGTTAATGTATAAACAAATGTTTTAAAAAGAATACGATAAATTTAACTTTGCAATGACTAATAGTGAGCTTGAGATTTTTTTGTATGTCATCGTGTTTTATGTAAATCTGTCGGGGAAAATTGAGGATATGATCATACCCTTCTGCGAATATTCCTGCTTTGATGTAGTTTATTCGAGCGACAGTAGTTATTTTAAGCGTTTTGGGTTGGTCAARAATTTGATAGTTGATGGAAGAGGGTAGACGTTAGATATTACTATTCTTTTAGCTRGGTTATTGAGTTATTGGTTGTTAATTACTATGAAGGGGTGTGTGTCCATTAAGTTATATAAGATTTGTTTGCTTGAACTGATTGTTGGATATTCTTGACACGAATGTGATATTTTTAGAAGTGATTATATTTCCTATTGCTATCACATATTCTTTCTGCGAGATACCGTCGATTGACTTGAAAAATATTTCTTGGTCACTAGACGGTGTTTTATCATTTACAGAGATTGAAGCAAATGTGATATCATTTTTGTTGTATTGAGAATAACTTGAACAGTTTGGAATATTTAATGCAATGGGAACAGATAGATAATTGAATACGGTGGGGTTGTTGATATTACAAATAGGTTCATTAGTGATAGCGGTATTATGTGTTAAAGATAATGAGGCAGCGGTGCTGCGTGCAGCTACCGCGTTATCGCTCGTTAAAGTGGTGTACTTGAGGAGGATTATAATTATGTGTTTGACTTATATGATTTAATTGGCGATGTTATTTTTTCATGAGGCACGTTTAAAGGTTTGTTTGTTGTAATTTTCTGGGAGTTTTGATCAGTAGTATTTATTATTGTAGGTTTTATTTTAGGTGAGTGACCTTTGGAGGAATTTACGTTTATATTATAAGTTATACGGTCAAATAGTGTTCTTCATATTACCTGTAAAACGGGGACGTTAAAAGATGGTATCAGAACTCAGAAGCTTGATAAATACGCACTCGCGATAAACACGTGTTAGACATCCAAATGTTGAAAACGTAAACTGTTTTTTATTTAGTTATTTATACATTATACTTTGTACGATAACAATTGTCTAAGTAATAAAAGATAAAAGATTTTTATATTTTATAAGTTTTGAGTTCTTGGGTGTTTTATATTTAAATAATAAAACCACAAATGAGTTTTAAATTTAGATGGACCAATAATAATAATAATTTAATAATTTTAATTACTTAATTTATAATA